TTTTTCGTTAGTAGAAGCATTCGTAAGTAGAGGTACCACTGTATATAGAAAGGTCATTTACTTTCCTCTGTCCTTTATGGAGCCTTGCATCTAATACCTTACTCTTCCCCCCCCCCCCTTCTGAAATGAAACAAATGCACATTTAGCACATTTCCTGGAATTAAGTTACATGCTGTGTTAAATAATGTGCAGCTAAACTTTACTTTCTTCTTTACTGTAAAGTAAGTGCAGGGGAAGCCTGATCCAGATTGGATGCACAGTTACGCCTATTGAAATATTACCCAACTGTGTTTTCCTTTTTGTTGAATATTTGCTTTCCTCCAACAGGATCTGAAAGAAGAAAAATGTCATTGGTGCCAATGGAAAGAAGCTTAGTTCTGCTATGGGGGTGAGGGCAGATTTAGCAGGGAAGCAGCTGTGAGAAACATAACCTCCCTATCTGTTGTGGCCTTGATCCAGTTGAAACACCTGCCATACTTTTTTTAGACTAAAGAAAGTCAGCTGTATGGTATCCATTGGATGCAGCATGTAGATTAACCCAAAATCTAAATGGTACATTTTTGTTATGGAGAAAGGCTGTTGTCTTGAGCATATGGTTATTCAGCAGGCACCAGTTGCCACCATGACAACCCTGTTTTTAAAGAACAAAAATCTATAAAATTATTTTAATCTTATTTCCTGTTATGAATATTATGCATGAGTGAAGTTATGTGCATACCTGAAGCACGTTCCTGGTTAAACTTTTCCCCTTGATCTTGTTTCCTATTGTAGTTTTATAATAGTTATAGTTATTGCAATCTGCCTGGGAAATTAGAAAAGAAAGATGCTAGAAGGTATTTAAATATCAAGCTGGGCATAAATTGTTACCAAAGCAAGGCATAAATCAAGTCCTGCTTGTAAAAAGTGGGACTGTTTCAAAACTTTTTGACTGTACAGTCAGTAGGCCCTGGCACCTTATTTGTATACCTACAATTTCTTTGTGAAAACATGTATAGTTCATCCTGTTCACAGATTGAGCTAGGGTACAAATGTGCCCTAAAATGAGAGAATTCAATCCAGGTTTTGTCTTTCCTTAGAACAGCATAAGAAATGTTTTTGGCAGTATCTTTCTGCAATTGAAACACTTTTTTGTGAAATATTTCCGCATGCTTCTGAAGATGAATTTGTTTGACATTGCTCAACATGGAAACTGTTGCTGCTGATGCTTTAATTGGTGCTAATTGCTTTTCTGATTGACAGGCATGCTAACAGAACATAATTATTGTTTGATCTGATGAATTTAACTATCAGCGTTCTGTTATCACAAGAAGTACCTTTTCAAGTTTCTGGATTATCTTGGCTGGATAAATTCTGTGCAGTTTGTCATGGAGTCTGCTCACGCCTGAGGTAGACAAGAGGTGACAACTTGCAACCAGTATCTAGAAAACAAAATTCTTGTTGCAACCCTTGCTACTGCAAGCCTTGATATGATTATGTGTGAGAGGCATGGGAAAGGGGTGTGATAGCCATGATTAAATGGTTTTTGAACCTCAACCAGCATTTAATAGGGCTATAATACAAATGCACAAATGTCCTTTTCATGAAAGGGAGAGGAAGAGTGTTAATAGTGCTTGTGAATGTGGCTTCATATCCATTGTATTTTTGTTGACATTCCATCCTACTAATCCCTACTAGAGGAGACAATCCTGAATTGATTGCTGATTGCAAGCCAACACTTAGATAAAGCCCATTGTTTCAGTGGCCTATCCTAGTTGGCACCAGCAATAGGGTTTATATCCAAATTCCAGGCATCAGGTATAGGCATCTCCATATAAGGCTTGTAAAAAAAAATCGTGTCTGAAGCCCAGAAGAAGTGACACTACCAGATAGACCAACAGTCTGTCTGAGTCAATATATGGGTAACCTCCTATGTGCTAGAGTAGTATGTATTAAAGGGTGTGTGTGCATACCCTGAAGGAAGTTACTTTTGAATTAAATGTCATTTCTTGTCCATGCTTCTGAATGCAGATTCAGCAGAATTGTTCCTGTTTGGTTTCAGACAAGCCAGTTATTCATGAAATGCTCATTATGTATGTCTCCCAATCTTCCCTACAGTCAAAGCTGGAGGTATGAGAGTTTCCAAGAAGATGGAAAATGCACCTGCAGAAAAAAATGCCAAATCGTCTGGGAAGGAGAAGACAAAGTAGGTGCACTTTTATGTTTGTCTTTTGTGTTTCTGTTAGTTAATAGATGAATTCAGGTTTTGGTGTGTGCAGAGTAGAAGTGTTCTTATATTGAATGGTATACTTAATAATAGTACTATCACAGTAAATCAGTGGAAATAATATCAAGGAAACCAGAAAGAAGACAAATCAGAACATGTTCAGTAAGAGAAAACTTGCATGTAGGTTACATTATTGTTGTTGTTGTTACTGCTACTATTCAGAGTGCAAGACATGCTCACAATTCAATCTAAAGGTGAAGGGTTTGTTTTGTTTTTTTGAAGTACAGATTACTTGGAGAGAGCTGCCAATGATTGTATGGTAGTAGGAAAGAAGATAGTAAGTATCAGGAAAGCGACTGATAGTTTTGCAAGGCCAACAACTTGTTAATCGCAAATACCTCCAGAGAGGGTATTGTACACATGGACATCACCAGATGGCCAGTACAAAAGCCAAATAGATTACATAATAGGTAACAAAAGATGGAAAAACCCAATTCTCACAGCAAAATCAAGACTAGGCACAGTCTAGTCTAGATAGATCTAGTCTAGTCTAGCATAGATCACTAACTATTAATATTCAAAATTAGAATAAAGCTGAAGAAGACAAAATCAACATACCAATATATGTTCTGAAGAACATCCCAACATAAAGAAAATGTGAGAAACAGATTTGCACTGTTATGCCTAACTGACCTGTAACCAGAACTGTGGACAGAAGCCAGGGACTTAGGCCCTCTGCAGACCAGGGCGTTTGGGACGCCCTGGTCCGGAGCGCCGCGGGGCTATGGCAGCCCCACCGCGGCGCTCCTAGAGCGGCCCTGAAAGGAGCGCCAAAAAGGCACTCCTTTCATAAGTCGCAAAAAGGGCGCCCTAAAAGCGGCGGGCGCCCTTTTTGCGACTCATCCTCCACAGCGCGTCCGGACGCTGTGGAGGGAGGTCGCCCTGAACGCGTCCGGCGTGCGGTGACCCGGAAGCGTTCAGGGCGACCTCAGGAAGAGGAAGGGCCGCCGCGCGTGCGGTGGCCCCTCCTCTTCCAGGCCTCGGAGACGGCTCAATTGAGCCGTCTGCCGAGGGGGTTAGTTAAGGAGGAATGCAGAAAGGCACAATCTGTGGCCAAAAAGAAAGAGAAGAAACAGTGGATGACAGATTAAATACTTTAAGCAGTAAAGGAAAGATAAGAAGCAAAAGAAAAGAGTCAGACAAAATCAGAACCATGAATGCTCCTATTCAATGATTAGTGTGCAAGGATAAAGAGAATTACAACAACAATCAATGCAGAGAAATAGAAGCAGACAACCTAAAAAAACAAGATCTGAGAATTCAAAGGGAAATGTAAATCAAGGATGTGGATGCTATGTGATCAGAAGAAGAACTTAATACATGACCACGATGAAATAAAAAGAGAATGGAAGCAATACACAGAAAAGCTATATAAAAAATATGAAAGGATGACTGATAACATGGGAAGAAGAAACATGTGAAAATAAACCACAAATTTTGGAAAGTGAAGTGAAAGCTGCATTCAAAGAGATGGGGAAGAATAAATCACCAGAAAGAGATGACATACCAATAGAATTGCTACAATCCACAGAGGCAGATTCCTAACTAAAATCTGCCCAAAATATAGAAAACAAAACAGTGGCCCCCAGATTAGAAATAATCATTATACATTTCCATCTAGGGGGGGAAAAATCCACAAAAGATTGCAGTAATTACAGGACCATTGCACTAATTTCCAGTAGAAACAAAACCATGCTCCGTATTCTGCAGCAAAGATTTCTATCATATATGGAGCGAGAAATTCTAGAGGTGCAAGCTGGGATAAAGAAGAGACCCCAGGGATCACATTGTAAACATACGATGGATAATGGAGTGCACCAGGGAATTCCAGAAGAAAATCATCATGTGTTTGACTGATTATAGCAAAGCCTTTGATTGCATAGATCAAGAAAAGCTATGGAATGCTCTTAAAGAAATGGGAGTACCACTACATCTGTTGTCCTGTAGTCTAGAGAAGAGGCTGCTATTAATACAGAATATGGAGAAACAGAATGGTTCCCAATCGGC